GAAAAAGTAAATCAATATTTCTGTATATTTCTTTACTCTTATTTAATTTTATTATTTTTAAAGGTACAATTTTTGAATTCGTTTGTAATTAGCATCAATTGGGCATATATTTCTTTTTGTATAGGTAATTTACGAATTTTATTATTATTATTTCTTGTTCTTATTCTCAATAATCCAATAAATTACCTTAGGATACCAGAATGATGATTAATGCGATAGCAAATAAGGGCGAACAAACTTCGAATATTGACTTGACTTAATTACTTACTGGAATAATCGATAAAGAATTTCTTAAACGACAGGTGAAATTGTATATCCCACACTTTAACAAACAACTATTTCATTTTTTAAAGGATCAATCCCTTCTACTTTCAATGCAATTTTTAAAGTTTTTAATTTCTTTTTTTTTAGTATGTTTACACGTTTTTTAGAACCTAATTTATAGTTTCAGGTAGTCATATGTAGCTAGATTGATATGTAATATTCAAACTACTATAATATTTATAGCTCTATAAAGTTGTATATATTTGCGAAGTTCTATATATGTATCGTCAATCATGCTAAACACGTAAACTATGACTAAAATCGATACAAACTAATAAGGATTGTCGGTAAATTATAAGTAAAGTTTCTATATTAAGACAACAATTAAGTATAAATATAATAAAATAAACAATGATCTATTATTCCTTTAGTGTATGCGATATACCTGAGGTTATTATAATTACTAATAAGATAAACCATTCTTCAGAAAGTAAATGGATATGATATTATTACTATATTAAATTGCTTCAAGCAATTGATGTTGCTGACTGTGTATCACTTGTCATAAAGAGACACGTGTACAAAGTATATCCATTGACTTTGATGTAACTCGAATCCTTCACATACACGAGCTCTTTATGTAATTTATGGTACATGGTCACGGATACAAAGTGCAGATGTAGATAATATCCCTATCAATCCCCATAGTCTTGTGCATTTGACAATATGATACAATATGCTAAACTTGTCGACGACAGGTTGGTTGAGACCTTGGATTAACTGAATGGATCAATAAGTTAGCTTTGTTATCCGTAACGGCGATAATGTCACCAGCTGTGACACCAACCGAAGGAATAGATGAACCAATTGGAAACTTACTAAGATTACTAAAAGTTATTAAATCATTGTTGATTTTAGTTATTTGACGTTTTATAATGGTTATAAATTCTTAAAACGAATCATCATTTGATATTTATGCATTTTCTGTTAACTGAAATGTAACCGAAATGTTTTAAAATGTATTTTCTGTCTCGTGAGTGTTTCTTGCTTCATTCTCTTAGATTCCATCATCTAATTATAATGCTAATTAACTTAGATTTATATTATATATATATATAAGAAATTAATGATTAAATTTATACATTTTTTTCCTTAATTTTCTTACAGCTTCAATCCTGTACACAGCTGTTATACGCGGTAAAGTGGCATTGCCTTGTGACATATCACCTCCAGCTGCCGATGATGCGGTAGTGTTAATTTTATGGTATAAAGACGAAGACCCTGCCCCAATCTATACTTTAGATGCTAGGAGAGGAACAGTCGAACAAGCGAGGCAGTCATCTAGTCCACATTTGGACAGTAGGGCTTACTTCAATATGATCAACAGGCCGGCTTTCCTGCAACTAGATCCTGTACAAGAAGGTGATGCTGGAGAATACAGATGCAGAGTTGATTTTCGGAAAGCAAGGACGGTCAATACTGTCATTACATTAAAAGTTATAGGTAAGAAATGGTTTTCTTACATCACCCTAAAACTCGATATAACATAGATTAACGAAATAATAATTAAACACAAGATTCCTATAGCATCTTCTGATATATATTTATCTAAATAGAGAGTTTTATATGTAAAAAATGATATTAAATCACACAAATTACATAAAATCATCACATAGGTTGATGAATTAGAATTAAGATTGTCATTTCGAAAATTAATAATCGATTCACTTTAATATTCATAATGATAGGATGTATTATTAGGAGTATTAATATCCTAAAGCATTAATTAGTTATCATTTATACAGGAAATCTATTACAACTCATTATAATATTCCATAACTAGTTATTTATTAATAATTAATAAGCATACATTATTGTGGTAAATAGATTTTAGTAATTTATTCACATCTCGAAGGATACTTATTATAAGATTACAGTTAAATCATTTGATACTAGAAAGATATAAATGAAAGCTTTCAAACCGCTAACTATTATCTTCATCCCTTTAGTGTTTTACTGTTTTCTATCCAAAACTTAGCCTGTCGATGACAACAGCTATAAATAATGGAGAAAGACAGAAAGTATAAAAAGTTTCATGTCGTGTTAAACTGTACCCGACGGTTGTTACTGTCATTACGTCAAAGTTTCTGTTTTTGGGGGGAAGAGGATGAGATAAAAAAAAAGTAAAATAAAAAAAAATATATCCAGAACAATAGATCTGTTCTACCTAAGATCAAGGAGTGTTTCGGAGAGGCAGATAAAAGGTTGTGATAAATCACGCTCTTGTTTTACCATCTTCAATATGTGGCATGGTACAACGAACATCAGCTGGATGGCAAAATGTCTACTATGTAATAATAATAAAAACGTTGTCAGGTTTTTTTTTCCTTTCTTTCTTTTTTCTTTTTTTTTCTATACGTTGCAAGCAATCTAGATGCTACTTCTTTTTTGGGGGTTGCGATTTCAATATTGTATATAAAAGGAAAAATAATTTTGATAGAATGNCGAAGAAAATCTATTTTTTGACCTTTATATTGATAATTTGACATTAAAGTGTAATTTTTAAATTCAAGTAATGCAATTGGAGAATGTAAACTGAAATTCAAAGCAATCAAGATGGAGGATGGAAAGTAAGATTCTACTGTATTAAAAATTGTACCGACCATATAAAATTTATAATTTATAAATTTAATAATTATAATAAAAATCAAGTAAATTTAAATGAAAAACATAAGCTATTCCTACATTAACTTTAAATGTTATAGGAATAATCTTAATTACATTTTATAGAAACACGAGAGTAATTTACATAATAAGTTCAACACGATTTTATAAGATAAATGCCATTTTTGAAAGACAATTTAAGAAAAGAGGCCGAAATAATTTATGATGGTGGCATTACACCATAGGAAAATATCTATATTCCGCACCATAAGTCTTGGCTTATGGAGCCATCGATATGCATAAAATACACTCTACCAATGCAGGTAATGACTTATGAGAGTAAAGTTTATATCAAGTTAAGAAATATTTTTACTTCTCCACCCATCTTTCTCTCGAGTCGTTTGTTTTTCAGTGAAATTTCAAGTAAAGCGAAGTGCATCGCTTACTACGAGAGAGAAGAGAGAGAGAGAGAGCAACTCCCCAACAGCAGCAGTGATAAATAACTCTACTCTAAACGGTCCTAAGAAAGAAGAAAAAACAAAGTAGAATATCCAACGATTTCTGTCGCAACTTTCTGATGGCACGCCACGATTACACGGAAGGAATGGAAATTGTCCTTAATAACGATCAGATGCAGCGTCACGATGAAGAATGGAAGTATATTTATCGCACGCTATATCCAATCAAGGAATGGGAGATACTCGCTCTCATCTATCACGACAAACTTATACTTTTTTGAAAAAGGGTGGGAAGTGGAAAGAAATAAATTCTGTCCACTTTTATACAGCTACACCACTATCCAAAGTACCACAGGGATGGAATGATACCGACTGATATCGAATATCCAATTTCTCTCACAGGTCGATCCCAGAGAAATGCCACAGGACCTAAAGTATTCACTTTTATACATTTGGCAGATGGACTAGGTGCGTGTAGTAGACTTTCTTTTCTTCTTCTTCTATCCCTGTATGTGTCCTATCTTAACGAATTTTTACTCTCTACACACTTAAAGATCTATTTATACAAAAGATTCTACATCGAAATTATAATTTATATAAAAATTCAATTGAGTCCAACATTAATTTTCATAATTTCTTTTCTTTTTTGTACCTTCGTACACGTATCATTTCTCTCCTGATCGATATATTATTATATTCTTAGTTTCCTCTCGAATCAATCTACCTTAACAAAAGACTATTATCGATTATTTGAAATTGCATAAAAATATGGAAGGATATAAATCAAATTTTTATTAATTTAATATAAATGACAACTGATAAATTACTTATTAATTATATTACATAAAAGTTATGCTTTGTAACTTATAATAATTTAACTTTCTATCGAATATTTGCGTGATTTAGTTTGCAAGAATGGAATTTTATTTTTGTTTTTTAATTAAATAATTAAATATACCGTAATTAAATATAATTTTTATATAACATTTTATAAGTTGAAAAAATATTTTATTTTAATTAACTGAAGTTATAAAAATTTTAATTTTAATAAGAAAAAAATATATATATATAAAAATAATTTGAAGAATTTTTAAATGATTTTTAAGCGTTTTTGGTCGATTATATTTAATATTTTATAAGATAATTAAAGATATTTTATAAAAGAATT